CAACATTTGTGGGGGAGAAAGAAAATCCATCACATTTACTCTGTAAATGGGCTTTTTCTCACACAGGGTTACAAATTACAGCAGCATGTAATGCTAACTTCTTCCAAACGGTTCAAATGAGCTCCTGACTGAAATCCACCCTCTCCACCAAGAGGCAATCATGCCCAGCAGTTTCCAGCCCTGTGCAGCAAATAGGAAGGTGGTTTTACCTTTTTTCCAATGCTCAGTTAGTCACGTTTCCCAGCTAGGCTTCCCTTAAGCCCTGGGTTCCTTTCAGATAAGAAACTGCACTGAACTTAAACCCAGCTATTTCCCACCGCATTTTCCTCCCCCTGTTATGCCATCAGTACTTATCTAGTAATATCAACTGGGCAAAAGTAAGAACGTAAAGTAGCAGTCAGCAAGTTCAACAAATGAGCTATAATCTCACCTTCCAGAAACCACGCTTATTTACATTTTGGCAAATTTCCTTCCAAAATTGTTGTTATACGCTGTTATTAGTTGGAATTATGTTGCATGTATTCGCTTTGGTTTCTCCATGTATTGTCATGTCACGTGCATTTGTCATTAAAAACTACATGCATTTTAGGTTAAAAGAGGATATCTAGTCATAAAACTGAATTGTAAAAAGAAGATATCCCTTAGATGGAAGAAGCAGTAGTTCAGAAAGGTCTGGCCTGTCATCAGGAAGAGTAGAAGAAGCTGTCTGATATCTTAAATAGCATTTCAAAGTAATCATTTTTAATCTTTTTTAATGGCTTTTTATATTACCAAAGATTTACATGCTTCAATGAATACATGCCTGCAACAGGTTTCCATTTACTCAAACCTTGACTCTATTTAAAAAATTTTAATGTGGTGCGCACTGTAGGCTAAACACTGAACTGCTTACAAGTCACTCCTCGGAAACCCTATACAGGGTCGTTATGAGTTTGAATGGACTCGAAGGTACTTAACAATAACAACATCATCATCATCATCAAGTGTTAGTACCCACATATTCTTTCTCTTAGTTAAATTGCATGCATATAAAAATTCTCATTTTCATGTAGAGTTCAACAACTCAGGGAAACTTGTAAAGAGACAAATTCTTCTACATTAAAGAAAACAAAAACAAAGCTAGTGAATGATTCTAGACCAATCAACATATTATTTATTCATTCTTCTATCTAATCCACAGTAATTTATTGAACATTTGCTATGCTCTTAGTAATATTATTGTTATTGTTAAGGGCCGTGTGGCAAATTAAAAAAAAACAAAAATGTTTTCACGAAATGTTTATGTGTGCCATGCACTAAGCATTTGTATTTAGAAATAAATAAAGATGATCCAGGTCAATGACTGAGTCATCTGCAGCTAATTTCTGACTCCTACTAAGTATGCCCCAGACTACCTTATTAATCTTTTATAAAGACCAACACCCAATGGCTGCTAGCTATTCTGGTGCTACGAAAAATAAAAACAAAGTATCCTAAAGGCAAGTAAAATTCTTAAATTAACTGATGATTTTAAATTGCTCTTTCTGCTTCCTAAATTTAGTATAGGCAATTTAACAATAATTATGGATACACATATAGGGTATGGAGTCCTGGAGTGACAATGTAGGATAAGCACTGGACCACAAGGTCAGTTTGAACCACAAGTTTGGCAGTTGACACCCAGTCATTCCTTGGAAACCCTAAACAGGATCTCTATAAATTAGAACCAACTCAACAGTACTTAAAAATAACAACTACAACATACAGATATATAAAAGTGTGTGATATTTAAACTAACCATGTTATTTGTTGTATGCCGTCAAGTTACTTCCAGCTCATAGCAATGCTAGAAGACAAAGTAGAACCATCCCATAGAGTTTTCTATGCTGAAATCATATGGAAGCAAACCAACAGGTCTTTTCACCTACCAAATCACTGGGATGGTTCAAAGGGTTGGCTTTTGGATAAGAAGCTAAGAGCTTAACCATTGTACCACCAAAACAAAATTAAAAAAAACACAGACCCACTACTGTGGAGTTAATCCGGACTCACAGTAACCTGTAGGACAAAGTAGAACTGTCCCACAAGGTTTCCAAGGCCATAAGCTTTTCAGAAGCAATCTGCCACATTTTCTCCCATGGATCCACAGTTGGGTTCAACAATGTGGACCTTTTTGGTTAGCGGCTGACTGCTTACTCACTTTGCTACCAGGGCTTCTTAAAATAACCAGACATAACTGCTATACCATGCATGCATAAAAAGCATGTGAATATGTGTGTATACATTTTATACATGATGTAGGGGCCTTGCTGGTACAGTGGTTAAAGCATTCAGCAGCTAATCAAAGGTCGATGGTTAGAACCAAACAGCTGCTCAGCCGGAGAAAGATGTGCAGTCTATCTCCATGAAAGTGTATAGCTGTGGAAACCCTGTGGGGCACTTTTTCTCTGTCCTTTCAGCTTGCTCTGAGTTGGAATCAATTCAACAGCAGTGGGTCTGGTTTTGGTTTGGCATATGACACACACATTTATGTACACAGTTGTTGCTGCTAAATACTGTTGAGTCAGTCCCAATTCAGAGTGACCCTGTACAGGGTTTCCAAGGCTAAAAATCTTTATGGGAGCAGAAAGTCTCATCTTTCTCCCACATGTTTGTGTATATGTGAGCCATCCATATGCTTGCACACACATTTACTTATGTCAAAATAAGTGAACATTCTCAATGAGAATTTTCTAAGACAATACATAAAGTGGAAAAATGGAATTGAAAAATAACAGAATTTCTCCACGAAATTTTTGAAGCCCCTTCATATTTCTAGTTTGAGTTACCCAAATCTACTGCCATCTAATCAATTCCAATTTAGAGACCCTCCAAGCACAGAGCAGAACTGTCCCAGAGAGTTTTCAAAGCCGAGCAAACTGCCATATCTTTCTTCCATGACCAGCTAGTAGATTCTAACTGCTGACCTTTAAGTTAGCAACCACGTGCTTAGCTACTGCACTACCCCAGCTATACATTGCTAAATTTATAAATCAGATACAAAGACGTAAAAAATTCAGAAATAATCTGCAGATTTCTCCACATTCAAGCTTATATTTTACACTTTATTACTTACGTTCCATAAAATAGGGTCCAGGCTCAATTCTCCATATAATTTGTCCTTTTTGTGTTCCGGTCACACCCCTGTTTTTAGAATCCCAGAAGTTGGCTGGAGAATTCTCATCTGGAAAAACAAAAAAATTGATTCTTAACCTAATTTCATTCATTCATTTAATAACTTGCATTAGTCATCTTTTAGTTAAAAGACTAACACACTTGTAAGATAAATAAGAAATAAATAAAAGGAAAAATATTGATGAACATTTTTCTCAATGACTGCAGTCCAACAGACAACCACCATGGATGTCTATGCTTGTCTTTATACATGAGAGAATTCGGAGGGATAGTAGAAAGAAGATGAAGTTTCTGGACTTGGCCAGATGGCTCAATAATTCCAGACAGAACAGCAAAACCAACAGGAACTATTGCGGCAGTTTCAGCATTGAGCTGATTTATAAGGAAAGGCCTAAGGTGAGCTCCCATCTATAACTGCCAACTCCCCCCCTCCAAAAACAAAACAAAACAAAAACACCACAAACCCTACTGCATAGTGACTCTCTTAGGATTCCTGAGACTATAAATCTTTATGGGAGAGGTCAGCCTCAACTTTCTCTCCTGGTAGATTTGAACCACTGGCCTTGTGGTTAGCAGTCCAATGCCTACCCCACAGGGCCACCCATCTATAGAAGTCTTTATTAAAAAGAAAGGAATAATTATGATGGAAGAATAGACTAGAACTCCAGATGACAGGAATAAAAGGGACATTTGGATATGAGATTGTGTCACCACATGGCACAGATTTGCGATGAACAGTGCTCAGGAGACACCCCAAAATCATCTTGTCTGCTAGGACAGTCTTTATATGTACAAGACCAAAGCCAGGATAAGAAAGGCTAAGAGAGGGCATTTAGGCTGCTGTGTGGAAGAAGGACAGAAAGGGCGGTGATGCAAAGAACAGGTCTGAAAGTAGTAGTTCCCAACCTTTCTAACCTCTTGAAATAGTAACACTTGTAGAGCACATGGGAGTACACAGAGGACACGCCTACAACTAAAGAAGAGTGTTTGTGCCAGGAGATATGCATACTCCAGAGTACCAAAGGAGGACAGAGGGGAAGAAGCTAGCACTCCTTGTGTGCATGGATAGTTGGTACAGCTCTGGATTTGTCAAGTGTGAAGTGCCTTTGGAAATGCACATGGAGACATTCTTTGGCAAATCTGCAACTCTGAGCCATTCAAGGTACTCCATCATTCCTTTGCTTCACTATTCCCTAAACGTATCTTTCACCTTCCAAGGTTCATCTTTTGGTCTCCGTGAATGGTCATCAGATGCAATAAACAAATATTATCTTTTGTCCCTTGGAAAAGTAGGGTTAATTGTGTGGCACTGTGGAGTAATGCGCTAGATTGCAAGGTCAGTTTCAACCACAAGATTGGCAGTTTAAGCTCATCAGCCATTTCTCGGAAACCTATATAGGATCGCTATGAGTTGGAACTGACTCGATGGCACTTAACAACAACAACAAGAAGACTGAAAAGAATCATTCAAAAAATTTTTTAATGTCACAGAAAGCTAAAATAATACATGCATAAATACTTTTAAATTTTAAAAAACATTTACTTCCCTATAGTATTTCATGCACAAATAATAGTTTTGAGAATTATTTATGAAAGATTTATTTTCTTTCTATATATTGCAAAGAATAAAAATCCCAAACACTTAATTGTTTTTATACAGAGCTTGTATATAAACCAATATGCAGGGGATACTGCATTATTTCCACCACACGTCTGTCAGTTTCTTGTGCTGAGGTGGTTGGTGTGTTGCTGTAATTCTGGAAGCTATGCTACAGGTATATTAAATACCAACAGGGTCACCCATAGTGGACAGGTTTCAGCTGAGTTTCCAGATGAAGAAAGACTACGAAGAAAGAGAGATGGACTACTTCTGAATATTTAGTCACTGAAAACCTATGAGCAGCAGTGCAACACTGTTAGATTGAAACATGATGAAGAACATGAGAATATTGTCAGATATAGTGCTGGAATATGAGCCCCTCAGGTTGTAAGGCACTCAAAATATGACTGGGGAAAAGCTGTGTCCTCAAAGTAGATCTAACCATGATGACATGAATGGAGTAAAGCCTTCTAGACCTTCAGTTGCTGATGGGGCACAACTCAAAATGAAAAAAACATACCTGTAAATATCCATTAATAAATGGAACATGGAATGTATGAAGTATGGATCTAGACAAACTGGAAATAGTGAAAAATAAAACGGAACACATAAACATCACTATCCTAGGCATTAGTGAGCTGAAATGGACTGGTATTAGCAATTTGGAATCTGACAATCACATGTTCTACTATGCTGGGAATAACAAATTGAAGAGCAATTTAGTCACATTCACATAATAAAAAAATATATATGAAGATCTGTCTTGAAGAACAATGAAATTTGTGGTATGATAATATCCTATAAGGAAGACCAGTTAATACCACTATTATTCAAATTTAAATACCAACCACTAAGGTTAGTGATTATGAAATTGAAGAATTCTACCAACTTCTTCATTCTGAAATTGATCAAGCATGCAATTAAGTTGTGTTGACAATTATTGCCTATTGGAATGCAAAGGTTGGAAACAAAGAGGAAGGAACAGTAGTTGGAAAACATGGCCTTGGTGATAGAAACAATGCTGGAAATCGCATGACAGAATTTTGCAAGACCAATGACTTCTTCATTGCAAATACCTTTTTTAAACAACATAAAAGATGATTATACACATGGACCTGAACAGATGGAATACACAGAAATCAAACTGACTATATCTATGGAAAGAGATCACGGAAAAGCTCTAGATCATCAGTCAAAGCAAAGTCAGGGGCAGACTGTGGAACAGACTTGCATTGTTTGTATGCAAGTTCAGGCTGAAGCAGAAAAAAATTAAAACAAGTCCACGAGAGCTAAAATATGATCTTGTATATATCCCACCTGAATTTAGAGATCTAAAGAACAGATTTGATGCATTAGACACTAAAGACCACATCAGAAGAGATGTGAAATGACATCAAGAACATCATATAGGAAGAAAGCAAAGGATCATTAAGAAGACAAGAAAGAAGAGAAAGACCAAAATGGATGTCCGAAGAGACTCTGAAAGGTGCTCTCCAGTGTAGAAATGCTAAAGCAAATGGAAGAAGTGAGGAGATAAAAGAGCTGATTACAAAATTTTGGGAAGACAAGGTCAAATATTATGACAAAATGTGAGAAGACCTGGAGTTAAACCAAAAGGGAAGAACACACTCAGCATTTTTCAAGCTGAGGGACTGAAGAAAAAAATCAAGCCTGGACTTGCAATATTGAAGGATTCTCTAGGCAAAATACTAAATGATGAAGAAAGCATCAAAAGAAGATGGAAGGAATACTCAGTCACTATACCAAAAAGAAATGGTCAATGTTCAACCATTTCAAAAGGTAGCATATGATCAAGACCCAATGATACATTGAAGGCACTAGCAAAGAACAAGGTATTGGGAATTGATGGAATACAAATTGAAATCTTTCAACAAAATAATGCAGCACTGAGGTACTCACTCATCTATAACAATAAATTTGGAAGACAGTTACCTGGACAATTGACTGGAAGAGATCCATATTTATGCCTATTCCAACAGAAGTGATCCAATAGAAGGTAGAAATCATTAGACAATATCATTAATATCACATGCAAGTAAAATTTTGCTAAAGAAAATACAAAAATGGCTGCAACAATACATTGACAGAGAACTTCCAGAAGTTCAAGCTAGATTCAGGAAAGGTTGTAGAACGAGGGATATCATTGCTGACATCAGATGGATTTTGGCTGAAAGCAGAGAATACCAGAAAGATATTTACCTGTGTTTTATGGACTGTGCGAAGGCTTTCAATTGTGTGAATCATGACAAACTACGGACAATGTTGCAGAAAATAAGTATTCTGGAACACTTAATTGTACTCACAAGGAACCTGTACATAGACCAAGAGGCAGTTGTTCGAATAGAACAAGGGAACACAGAATGGTTTAAAATTAGGAAATTGTGCACTAGGATTGTATTCTTTCACCATACTTATTCAATCTGTATTCTGAACAAATGATCCGAGAAGATGGATTATATGAAGAAAACTGGCATCAGGATTGGAGGAAAACTTACTAACAACCTGAAATACACAGATGACACAACCTTGTTTGCTGAAAGTGAAGATGACTTAAAATACTTACTGATGAAGATCAAAGACCACAGCCTTTGGTATGTGTTGCACCTCAATGTGAAGAAAACAAAAATCCTCACCACTGGACCAATAAACAATATCCATCTATGGCTATACCACCCTGAAAGTGCCTGATTTCATCTATTCTCGGAATCTCAGCAGGGTTGGGCCCAGTTAGTACTTGGATGGGAGACCAACTGGGAATACCTGGTGCTGTAGGCTTTTTGGAGTCCTGATCTAGTACTGTGGGTTAACATGCTGGACTGTAAAGTTGGTTTGACTTCAGTATTGGTGGTTCAAGCTCACCAGCTGCTCCTCAGAAACCCTATACAGTATCACTATGGGTTGGAACCAACTCAATAGCACTTAGCAACATATAAATGGAGAAAAGACTGAAGCTGTCAAAGACTTCATTTTGCTCATATCAACTACCAATACCCATGGAAGCAGCAGTCAAGAATCAAACAATGTATTGCATTAGTTAAATCTGCCGCACGTGGCCTATTTGAAGTGTTCAAGAGCAAAAATATCAGTTTGAGGACTAAGATGCGTCTGACCCAAGCCATCATTATTTTTGACAACCTCATATGCATTTGAAAGTTGGACAGTGACTAAAGAAGACCATAGAGGAATTGATGCATTTGAGTTTTGGTGTTGGACTAGAATACTAAAAGTACCATGGACTGCCAAGAGAACAAGCCTATCTACATTGGAAGAAGTACAGCCAGAATGCTCCTTGGATACCAGGATGGCCAGACTTCAACTCTAATACTTCAGACATATTATCAGGAGGGACCAGTCACTGGAGAAGGGTCAGAGGTAAAGAGGAAGACCCAATGAATTGAATGAATTGAGATGAATTGGCACAACAGAAG